TACCTTAACTCCAATGAAATCTGTCTTTCAAGTCTCAATTGATTATAGAAATTAGCAATAAACATTTCGGCCCTTTTATCAATATCATCTTCTGATGATGGATAACTCATAGTTCTTTGAAGTCCTTTAAATGAACCATTATTTGCATTTTTAGCCAAATCTTGATCATCATTTTCATCAATACATATTACATTCAATCCAGTTGGCTGTTTTTGCAAAATCTTCTCATTGAAACTCAATTGATGCAAACTTTTTCTTGATGATCCAATCAAATATGTTGCTAATTTCCATTTGTTGATATCAAAATTTAGTAAAAAAGTAATCTTTTTTACTGCCCTTTTTAGTTTTCCTAATAAAGACCAATTCTCTATCCCCATTTTTGTTGTTTTTTGACTTGACAAATAAAGCACTGAATTAATGAACTATGAAATGTCGAAAAATGAAAGAAGGGTAATTTGTTCTTGAACAGAGTTGGTCTGCTAATAAGAAAATGAAGTCTATTTAAGTCGCGATAGATCTGAGTGGGAACCAAAAAAGAATATGATTATAGTGAATATATAATCAAGAAAAAAAGAAAGATATTTCTATTTTTTGAAGAAGAATTGAAGAAAAATGGATAATTGTTTTTTTTTTTGAGATTGTGTTGGTTGTTTGAGAGTTTTGTTTTTCTTTGGGTGGGTGGGGTTCTTAGGTTATATATAGTGAGAATATGTGGACTAAGTCATATTATTGAGGCACTATTCAAATTTTGTCCTTGTTAGTCATTATAAAAACAATTAATTAGTTAATTACTTTTAAGATTTTTTTTTAAAAAAAAATTATGAAAATTTTCTTGGACTTAAAACACCCCTTAAGTTGAGTGGCAAAGATGGCAACAAGAGAGATTGAAATTCACATGCAAGTCATGACGAATCGATATAACTTTGTACTGTATTCAACATATTTGATACCATGATCGATTACTCATAAACCCTATTGAACTAATATAATTCCAAAGCGTGCTACGACACAAGGAAGCATGTGACTCACAAGTCATGATAAATATGTATGACTTCTTATTATATATAACGACTAATTATCTTGTTGGATTGATTACAGATCATATCAAATCATCACAAATTCTTCTATTGGGATTCGAGCTTGCAATATGTCGGCCTTTTATTGCAAGGGTAATATGTCATTTGTCTTTGCTCGTAAATTAAATTTATTAATTTTAAATTTTGAATTCGTCTACGTAACATGAAAATGCATGGGTGGCTATGGAGAAAGTTGGTAGGGTTAAGGAAAATAGATAAATACGTGGAGAAAAGGACAACCGCGTTATAAAATATGACAGCTACACACGTTAAGAAGCTAAAGGCAAAAGCTTTAAGCAAAAAGACTTTTTTTGGTCAATTTTTATTTTTTTTGGAATAATTATTCTTTCTTGGAAATTTTGTATTATTTTTTGTTTACTATAATGTTATTAAGGTTTAATTGGTTAGCTTGATCTCAAATTCTGGGTATAAAAATATTATGTTAAAATGTGTTTTTCCTTTAAAAGCGTCTTACGCAACGTAATCTAAATTAATTGAGTGTCAGATATATTAGGTTGAAACTAGAAAAAGATTGGTTACATCGTCGAATATTCCTTATAGGGGGATTAATTAATGAAAGTTTGATTAGTTTATTATAAGGATTAAGGATAGAGTCATAGCCAAATGCTTAATGATTTACCCAACTAATCATTTCTTTGTCTGGTTGGTTAAGACCAAGTCTATTTTTTTTATTTTTTTTTGTTTTAAGTTTTTCCTTGGGATTTTAATGGTATTTCAGAAAATATTGTTGAGAATAAGAATGTGCTACATTATTAATTGAGTTTAATTTATATATACTGATAGAGTAATAATAAATTAAAATTTATTATTATGTCATTAAAGAATATTTAACGGTAAATCTTCTTAAAATTGATATTTATAATTTTAAAAACAAGACATGACACTTGTGTCAATAAATACAAATAATCTGTGATATCAACACTAATCGCAAATCCAATAAGGTTTGATCATAGTTATATCAATTCAATAAATATATAATATGTGTTTTTACAAATATGATTATCACTAAATTATGGTTAACTAAATTAACACTTCACTATAGTATATCAGTATAATTTGGTGTAAATATTCGATATAGATAAATTTTACCAACTTATTTCTAATTTATTTGTTTCATTTCCTTATCAATTAATTAAACTAAATTATTAATGTCATTGATGACAACGTAACTTATATTGTTTTAATAAAATATACAACTTTCATTTTTTATAACAATTTAATAACTAATTAATGATACAAAGTTTAATTATATTGCTACCCATTTGGGGAGAATGTATATTTTATTAATTGCCGGCTAACTAGAGTAGTAGGTATGATTAAACAAAAATAAAGGAAACGTTCAAGAAGAAAATAAAAAGACTTTATATTATACTATGCTTTATTTTATTTTTATATGCAACAAGTTATTAAAATATATATATTAGGCTTTTAATTTTTCTTAGCTATCTTGAGTTCTACAATAATATGATTCTTTTTAGTAGCTTTTTTAATTCATTTGACCTATCAATAAGAGTATCATGATAATTTTTGTTCCAAATTATATGATACTCTTTTTTATTATATATTTTTAACCTATTTGACATATTCTATGTCTCTGACAAAACTCGTATAATTTTATACCTTGGAAATTTGTTAAATCATTCAAAATTTAGATTATCGTATTTGTTTTCTCTATCAATCTAACATTTTATTTATTTTTTCGATCATAACCCGTATAATATACAAGTTGAAATAAATATCTTAAACTCCCTTTCCAAATTAAATATTGTTATTTAAATAGCACATGTAATATTCTTCTTTTTTCCCACAAGTACCTGATTATAAAATAAATCTTTTTTTTGTTTCTCGAATCTCTAGTAAGTTATAGATAAATTTTGAAAATATCAAATCTATTATGATTCTATCATTCATGACACAAAATAGATTGAAAAGCATCTACAAGAATTAGATGTTTACAAAAAAAAAATTAAGTCAAAGAGTTCAATTTTGACTAGTGGGGCATGAACTAATAAAACATATTCCTAATTATGATCTTTTTGGTCAATTTGAGGGGCAATAATAAGCAAATTTACTCAAAAAATATATTATTATTTTAATATTTGGATTATGCTTCAAATTCTGAGTATTCAAAGCTATTAAAAAAAGCTGCACAATGGATTGAAGTGCATGTAGAATAATGGGTCAATTTTCTAATACCTGGAAGCCAAGTCTCCATTTTTGCCATTTTATGTTATTATTAATTATATTAAGTAAATTGTTTAATTAAAACAAATATAATTTTTTTTACTAAAGCTATAGATTCTGCCGAATCCGTTAGCTCCACCTTTTGGTTAAAAAAAAATTCCCGCATTTAATGTTTATACCAAAATATAATTTTAATTTACATATAAATAAATGTTAAATTGAGAAGAGAATATATATTGATTAAACTATGATTGTGTGATGGGTTATCTAAAGAGGTATATTATGTATCCTTATTACCGCTTCAAAGAAGCATCTTTGCATGAATCAATATTGATTTCCCAGTCAGTTGACTTTCGATTTTGTAGACTAAAACAGAAGAACTCCGTAATGACAAAAAGTCGTAGATTAAGTTGATGTAAATACCAATATGAATAAATTTGATCTCCAACTCAAGTTTTTGAGGCAAATTAGTAATATAATCAATTTCACTCCACTTAATTTTGAGGTACAATTTTCCTCTTTTTGTTTCTTCACTGCATTAATTATTCTTTATTCTAAAGTGAAAGTCATGATAAAGATATTTCCTACGAAAAGCAAATAACCAAAAAAAAGTAAACGTTTTTTGGTCTAAAGTGAAAGTCATATTTATCTCCTACTAAAAGCAATAAATAACAAAAAAAAACGATTTTATATCTGAAGTGCAAGTCATAATAAAGATATTTCCTACAACAAGCAATAACCAGAAAAAATAATAATATGAAAAATTCAACGACGACAACAACAATAACATATTTAGTATAATTCTATAAGCGTGGTCTAAAAAAGATAGCTTGTATGTAAACCTTACATCTACCTCGTAGAGATAGAAAGCAATTTACTCTTTTATATTCGGAAAAAACTAAATATACTTTGTATTTTGGAGACATTTTTTTTTAGTAATCGCATCGAATTAAAACAGAATATTGACTAAATAGAGGAATAAATAGGTAATTAGTAGATTGCCATGTAATTGATGATGCATTACCAAAGTTTTACTAATTTTTAATTAGTTGCAAGAAGTATAAGCATATTTCTCCTTTCATGGAAAGTTTAAGGTACTTAATAATAATTTGATACTTCAAAGAAAAAGCAAAAGAGAAGTCAATAACAACATACAAATGAAGCTTTCAAAAACAAACAACTGGTCCAATTTCAAATGGATTATGAAGTTACGTATGACTGAAGTTCATGTAAAAATGATTAATCTTCAGTCGTGTTTGCTTGAACACCAATCATGTACGACTGAAATTCAATCATATTTTGTTTGAACTTATGTGCATGAATCAAACACAAAATGACTTGAACTCCATCCATATGAAACTTTAGACGTTGTGTCTAAAGTTAGACTTTAACAAGATTAATTGCAAACACCATAAGTTTGAAGTTGTCCCGAAGTCATACACACAATTTAAAAGGCAATATCAAAATCGGGTATCCATGCACTTTTCTCAATGATGCCTCTAGTCGAGGTGCATACAAATTGGCTCAACCAACATAGTTAAGATACAAATTTTAACAAATCCCTTTAGCATTTGGAACCATAATCCTTCAATACTCCCATTCACCTAAAGTTTCATATAGTAAAAGGGAGCTAAAAAACAAAACAAGCAACTTGTTTTATATGGCGTTGATATACTCTATTACCATTATTCATGAACTTGAATTTCACAGACCAGATTTACAGAGAATGTGCATGCAGAAAGTACTCTGCACGCGATAATAATGTCAGGGGTAATGAGCTAAATTCTATACAAAAGCTGATGATAACGCATCATCCAGAACTCAACTTTAACGTATGTGGTTCCTGAGCTCTCATCACATACTATAAAAAGGGCTATAGTTAATTCTCACTGAAGAGAATTGTGTACCTATCTGGAGGGTGAAAAGAATCTTCTCAGCATACTGAGGTGATAAATATCAAGAGAATGACCCAAAATCCGAACTATCTATACCGACCAGCCAACGATGTTTCTCCAGAAACCAATCCTGCAAATGTTTCAATAGAAATACACTTGAGCACATCACAATTCATCATGTAATTTGAATTTCCTAGAACCAACTCTAACTCATATATACCGGAACAGGAGCTAAGATCAATGTCACATTTCACGTAAACCAAGCATAGTAGCAGAAAACTATGCAATACTTTATGGTACAAACAGAACTGATGAACCTACGCACAAAGTCAGGCATTGAAAAAAAGAGTACAAGGTTGGCAAATAAGAGATACCAAGATGGGTCTTTATTCACACACATTAATAACTTCAAGCATCGATACAGACAATTTTATCATGGGTGAGCGGAGTAAGATGAGTTCCACCTTATCTGTAGAATTTGGTATGCTCAACTATGTCCACAAGGTGTCACTTTCAAACATCTAAATCCACCGACAAAAGACAAGAGTCTTGGATATGGGCTTCAACCAAATACACAAGAATGGGATGCTACACTAATATTTGATAAGGAATATTGAGTAAGTTGTTCCAAATATATTAGCTATAAACCTGATATTTCTAAAAAAATCTAACGCATCATCAATTTTAACGAGTATCAAATAGCAGACCTAAAAGTTCAACCAGAGCCATTTTTACTATATTAGTCAATAACACATGTCTTAACACCTTACTTCTCTAAAACCATCAAGTACGCTGAAACATTTCAACTAATTATTGAAAGTCCATTATGTATCAACCTGTCTGACAAACTGAGACTACAAACGTAATCATTTTTTGCAGATATCATTCAACAGCGCAAAAGGATGCCAAGAGAATGCATACCTATAATAACTAACGGGGAAGAAGGGGTTCTCTGTCATCAGGTCCAACGCGATGGCTAGCCTGTAACATCATAAAGAGATATGAGACATACATGCATGGATAATCTTTAGAATTCTTTTTCGCAAGTTGATCAGAGTCTTACATCTTCACTTGCCCCAGCCGCCATATTTATGAAGGATCCATCCTTTGACCTGTAGAAATCAAGCACTCAAATTTTCTTAAAAAGAAAAAACACTAGATTGGTGATATCAAATGTGTTGTACGAAAGGCAACGCAATAACTAAAGATTTCACACAACATGCATCAAACTATCAAAGTGATAACTGAGATTAGCTACAACACCTGCATAGTTAATAGACCATATATAGAAAAATAATAGTTTAATGGAAACTAAAGGGAGAAAAAGGCGGGCCCTCCATTGGACCAGAAGAAGCAATTGTTTCATCTTGACCCTGCCTGATTTCATGTCCACTTAAAGTAAAATATTAAACCCTCTCTGCTCTTGAAAACGAGGAACCTGATGAAATTCCTATTTTGTTTTCATAATTCAGAGATTAACATTAGTAATGCACCAACGCAGTGCAAAAAAATGATAACAAAGTACATCAAGTCTTGCATCAATGTCGTTGGAAATACTCCCAATGGCCCAAAATCTTCTAATAAACAAAAAAGAGCTCTTAATCTTATGAATTGGATTCCTCAATCATATGTTTCCTCTATCTTTCTTTTCCTTTTTCCAATTCTGAACTGAAGGGTATTCCCTATTTTTGATGAAGAAAATTTGGGGTAAGATCCACCGAAGTGTTAAGCCTTAACTGGATGTGTGGTAACAGGTAAAGCCCGAAGGCTATTCCCATCCCTGTTGGGGGGAGATGCAAACCATCTCTCCTTTCTACGAACACAGGGTAATCCCTATTCTAATGTTTTTGACATGAAAGCACCTTTTTTTCATGCTTTATTTGCCAGTAACTTCTCATTTCATAGGTTTTGCTAGCAGTCATTAACAGATTTCTCGTTTGGAAAAAGTTGGATCTTTCCTTTCATTTTTATCCATTCTGACACCCTGTGTGGACAGTCACAAATTTGAGGTGTCATTCAGTCAAGCACCTTCTGCATCACCTTGTTTTACTTTCAATTCCATAAGCAGACCATTTAATCAGGAAAGTAAAATAGTAGTAATAATTTGGATATATATTTAAGATTGCAAAGCTTTTTCTCTTTTCGGGGGATAAAGAGCTTATGAAATTTCAAGGGCTCCATATCTAAGGCAAAAATACCAAATTAACTCATTTGGCTGCATGAAAGATATCTTGACCTTTTGTGATCAAAGGTAGAGCTCTGCCATTGGCCCTCCAAGATTCACTCAGTTGCAACTCGCATAGGAAGGGCACTAAAACTTTCTTAACATCTGAATCCTAGATATTCTCACACCAGATCAAGTGGTATAGACCATCCTAGTGTACAGGAGGTACATATTTCCAATTCTTTAATAACGTCTGCGAACATACATATGTATACACTGTAACCAGAGTCCAGTATCCCTCCATACTCTGGAAGTTTAGACGGTCCTTTGACACCAGCGACTCCTAAGAACGTTAAGTACTTGATCCAAAACAATCTAAAGGGCGGATCTAGAGATAAGCATCTGAAGGCCTGTTGAGAAAGACATCGCAGGGTAACCACAATCTCTTGTGTATATCAGTTTTGCTTTCATAAAGCTTAAAACTTGAAAGAAGAGTGCACCTGTAGTTTTTCTGATAATCCATTTCCAGGTTGCCGTTTTGTGGCTCATCCCTGACCTTTGCAAGAGGTGAAAAGAACTAAAAAATTGAAGCTTGACGTGAGTCCAAGTAAAAAACTAAGCATGCCACTCAAAATAGATAACAACATCCAAATATAACCTGATGCATCGAGATAAACACAATGGAGATTCCTAAGATGAAGTTCATAGTAAGGGTATGTCCAAACAATACAGCAGATGCTATTCCAGTGAAAATAGTGGCGACAGTTGATGAATACTTCTTCAGAATTGTATCTGCAAATGTAAAAACGAAGCAATAATTAGTTAATGCGTTTAAGTAATACATTTACTAGACAATACAAACCACCGTGGAAAAATGAAATCTGCATGTTGCTCACTACCAGAAATTGGAACTACCTTGTAAGAGCTAGAAATCTAAATTCAATAGACAATTAAAAATTGAAGCGACCCATTTTTGGCTCGCAAAAATTGGACAAATTCAAGGAGAAAAAATCTCAAGTCCCATATACAACAGAAATATAAAACACAAAAAAATTATGGAGTATAAATCGGATGGTTAGACAAGATGTATACACAGATGCATCTTGTCGAGTGCAAATAACAAGAGGTTCAATGTTAATAATTCAATCAATTCTTCAAAAACACATTCTATTACCTTCATTGATAATAGTCAAAAATCTACTTGGGAAGCCAAATAAGTGAGAGAAGCCTCACCTGCATACTTGAAGAAAAACGAAGACAGGATTCCCTGAGCTGCATTATTGCATATTAAAAACATTGTTGCTCGTGAGTGTCCCCGTAAGATATCGAAATTGTCAGGTCCTGAAGAGCATTTGATACAGAATTAGCCAAGAGTAAAGGAATTAAATAAGTTCTGTGCATAAACCAACAACTGGAAGTAGACACATAAATCAATCCAAGAGTAAAGGAATTAAATGAGTTTGCCTAAAATGCTTATGAAGCCTAATGGATTGATGCATCATAAGCATTTTAGGCAAACTCATCATAAGCATTTTAGGCAAACTCAAAAGGCCTGGGAAGTATAAGCAAGTGGGGATCCTGCTATGGATGGTACTCAATCTAAGGGTGATACCATCCAGGTCCATTTTGTTAACTTTTAAAATTATGATCAGTAACTGTTATATGTCTTTATTTGATGCTTTCCTTATACTCCCTCTGCTTCAATTTGTTTGTCTTACTTTTAGTCTGTTTAAAAAAGAATGTCTTTTTCCTTTTTTGGCAATTTTTTAATTCCACTTTCCACATGACAAGCTTAAAACCACAAGATTCAGAAGTCTTCTTCACTTTCTTAAACTGTGTAAGTTGTAACTGATTCATGAAGGAGGTGAAAGCTACAAAGGAGGGAAGACAAAGATAACCTGAAGATAGAATTTGAAAGAAGTTAATAATTGATCAGTTTTTTCAGATATTATGATTAATCACATGTTTATCAATGTCAAGAGAGCTTCATTCTTAGGAAACACAAAAAGGATAAGATTTCCCATTCATACCTTTGTAAATGACAGTTCCAAGTATGCCAAGGAAGTTGAAGATTGCACCATATCCGTACAAAAACAAATTCTGCAAAGAGCAGTTTAGTTGTTTGTATGGATCATTAATAAAGTCAGACACCCATTAAACAAACCACACCAAGAGGTTACAAGCATTTCACTACTTGGAAGATCGTGATTATCATACTATTAGCTTTGTATAATTACACCAAACAAAAATATTGCTCAGAAAAAAATCTGATTATTAGCAAATCAATTAACAATTCTATATGATGGTTCAAACTGAGACAGTGAAGAAATATTGAAAATGAAAGAAGAAGCTACGGAAGAGAAGATGTCTATTGTTTTGGCTGGGATCCAGTTGAATGAAGTCAAACTCACTGCAGCAGCTTAAAGCACTTTAGGAGTAATCAACAGCAAAAGTTCACCTGAAGATAAATGCTGGTCTCGAATTGGCTTTTCAAAGCATATTCATTGTAGACAGACGCCAGTGAAGGAACAGTGACCTGAATTATTACATTGCATCAGTTTCTATCCAATAAATAAGGCAACCAGGTGTAAAGTCAATAAAGTATGGCATAAAGTTTGTTCCAGTACAAGTGGCACTGTATTGTAAACCACCTATATTCTCTTGGACACTAAAAAGGGGGGGAAAATTGAAAGGGAATAGTGTGAATTAGTGCACAGATCCCACAAGGTAAAATAATTCTTGAAGGCAGTAACACTCAAAGCTGGAATATCTGATGGATCAAGCAAAGAATGTGAGTAGTCATTGAGAATTATCTTCATATAATACTTACGAAAATCAAGGTATACAAATATGCCCCTGTTGTTACTGTAAGATCCAAAGCTGATGCACCTTCTGGCAGAGAGCGCAGCTGATTCACACTGATGCCAATAAGCAATAGCGCAAGAGCCTCCCACTGTGACCATTTAGTTTTGATAGTCATATATAGCTAGCATTCTTTCAGGGTCCAAGATGCATAAACACAGAACGTACAAATCTAAAAATCAATAAAAAATACAGTTGACTATAGTTCATAAACAAACCTCTGTCAGCTTTACCAACCTGAATTATGGAAAAACGGCGTTTCATAACTATCTTTAACAACATTGCAATTACCAAAACCTGCAAGTTTTAAGAATTAAAAAAGAAAAACAATCACCAACGCAAAATTTGAGAAGATAAATCAATCAGCAGCAAAAGAGGAAAGATCTGGTACAAGTATGACACAAAATAAGTGAATCCTCACATTAGGCATTACAAGAGTAATCACATCATCCTTGAATACGAACTACAATTAAAAGATTAACCAGCTCACCACCAAATCCCAACTACAAATACTTGATGTGAGCCTATCGGCTCGATCTTTGGAGGGCAGGGTTATCCATGGAAACCTGTTCTTGTGAGTTGTACAGGCAGCCTAGTGGATCAACCAAGGTGCACGCAAGTTGGCCAGGCACAACAAATATAATAAAGGGAAAAAAAGGACTACCTATCTCAACCATCTGAAGAGAAAAAAGCTCATAGTTGTTTATTTTCCATTCAATCTTGAGTGCACATACATGGAAATTTTAACACCTAATAGTAAAACCTGACTGTGAACACTCAACTAAAGCTAACACTGAAGCAGAAACAAAAGATAGCAAGCAGAGTTTGTAATTAATCTAGTATGTAAGATCCGCCTGAATTATTAGCTACTTGCAATTTTGTCAGGGAGATATAACTTATCAAACCAAAATTACTGTAGGATTCTCACAAGTAAATTGCAAAGTCTGAAAATGTCAGCAATAACTATAAGCAAATGGATACCTTCAAGTTACTCAGCATCTTTACAGTAGCAGGGTTAAAATATAACTGCACGAAGTAACAGAAAGTATCATTAGGAAGTGTGAGAGGATAGTTTAACTCCAATAACATGTACCAACAATGCAAAACTTTAGGGCTATACAAGAAAGTGAGTCCTTATGAGTTACGTCAAAAGCACAAAAGACGAAAGTACAGAGCCAGAGGACAAGAATTCCAAATTACCAATAATCTTAACATAATTTTTTGAAGAAAGTAATCACAACAGATAAAGATTATACGAAATCAAGAAGGTTAAATAATTCCACTTGAGATGACAATCAAGTCTCTTCATGCCAAAGTTCTTAACTTTCAGGGAAGATACTCAATTTACTTTCTGATCTAAAGCAACAAAAAGAGGCTATAAAAGAAAATCTTCTAGTAATGTATTTTTTGAGTTATATGTACATCGATAGCTATCTTGGAAAGCACATGATATTTCTTAATAATACTAGAATAGTACACTACTGGGAGAGAAAAAAAAAGTAGATAACATCCATATTAATCAATATGCTTCAATCCCAAGCTAGCTGAGGTAGGGTATATGAATCTATTTGTAACCCACCATCTAAGATAAGGGCAGTAAGTCATGAGAATTTGATAAGCATCTCACAAATAACCTATTAATATCCAAATGAGGAACGACAGAAAAAATTTACCTGCATGATAAACTTAAGGTAGTTATTAATAGCATAAAGCAGAGCAGGAACAGCCAGAAGCACATTGTTCCGAGCAGCCTGCAATTAATAAAAGAAAAACAGTTTGTATCAAAAGTTGCCATGAACATTCTTCACTGTAATTCTTAACATCCCACTTGTGTCCTACGTGGTAGAGGAATGTCAGAGAAAGAACTTCTGAATGATTAGATTCATTAATTTCAAACTTCAGATTGGAGTATAAATTAAAGAACAAAGCCCATTCACATATTAGTTATAAAAAATTAACTTGGTAAAATAGAAACCTATTACTTTTCCTCTGTGGCCCCACTAACCATTCATTAAGTACTATTAGAAGTCAGTAGTCATCATCAATTATGGTCATTGTTTCTTCATTCCTTGTATACTGGAAAACAAAGGAGAAATATAGAGAAGAACGCTAATATTCTATGTAGATTTAACAAGGATGACTAAACTATCTATAAGGAAGTGGAGAGAAAATATAGGGATAACAAAAGAAAAGCCTTCACTATCAAAAGTTTAGATTTTGTATGTCAAAAAGTTAGAAACATAGACTTCAAATGGAAATAAATAAAAGATTTTTATTTAACTTGAAACTCTTATTAAAGTTTGGCTTTAAGCCGGGTGAGATGGGTTCACCTACTTAACTCTCCATGTTCATGTTAAATATCGTCACTAATTCTCACTAAGGTAAGCAACAATATTGGTATATGGAAAAGTCAACAACATACTAGTGTAATCTCACAAGTGGGGTCCGGGGAGAGTAGTGTATAAGCAAACCTTACCCCTTCCTTAAATGGAAGAGATGTTGTTTCCGATAGACCCTCAACTCAAAACAGATGCAAAAAACGACGGCAACAACACGCAGGAAGAACAACAAGAGAATACAAAAAGAATGTAAGTTTATGAATTAATGTAGATTGTGTGGAGAGAGAAATAGGAGAGCTTTAGAAGGAGTAGAGTCGAGTTTCTCCCGTTGAGGAGTAGTCTCTGTTCCCTTATTTTCTTTTGGTGCACACAGAAAGTTCCTTGTTGTATAGACGGTTGGGTGAAGTCTGTAGAGAATCATATATTTTGTAGATTCCCTACCTTTTGGTATACCCCTTGTATACAGCCAGTTTAGCCATGTTTATGAATGAAAATTCTTTTACTTGATAAAAAAAAGTGTAGGTATATTCTTTTGTATACATGAAAAAGACATGTCTCAGTGGAAACATTTTTTTATTGTTTGACACAACTGGACATGAAACTTGTATATCTATTTAAAACAAATAAAATCACTTTTGTGAATTAACAAGTCTTACCTGGAACAATGTGGAGAAAGAAAGAAGAGACTTCTCACCAGCCTTCTGGTTTCGAGCCTTCAAATAATACAAGAGATTGAAACATTTTAAAACAAATGAATAGTTATACCAAGGTATCAAGATAGTAAGAACAAGTTATGATGCATATGACCAATACCTGGTAGAGAATTTTGTTATATCGAAAAAGAAGAGAAGAAGTTCATAGGAAATTGAAGGTGTAGAAGGTTTTAGAATAAGTTAAGTTAGTAAAGAGAGACAAAGCTATACCTCTAAGCATAGCATTATTACTGCAAATGTAACTTTTGCCAACTCAGTCAAAAAATTAACACTGATGGGACTGAACTCGAATTTGCCATCAACTTTTGACATATATACGAGTATAGGCTGCAAGAAAAGAAATAAATGAAAAATGTATTTTATTCAATATACAAATATAGCATAATATAGAAACTTACATAAGGAAACCCGAAATATTCCAGTAGTACTCAGTGCAAAATAACTACTTTTTGATAACCAAGTTCTAAGAAATAACTACTCTAATACACATTTTTCTTTAAATAAATACAAATACGTAATATTCAATATTCAACACAAAAAAAAATAAAAAAATCAAAAGCTCAAGGTCATACCAACAACCAACCTTCACTAAGAGAGATATTTAGACTATGAGATACTTTTATTGGAATCAATCTCTGTAAGTGTTTTTCCATGGAAAGTATTTCAAAGATGATTTTGTAAAATCATGAGAAAATTAATGACATTCCAAAATGAAACTTAGACATACCCATCAATTTACTCTTTTGAGCCATTTTACCTTCTACACTCCAAGATGACTCAGTTTTAGTAATATCAATAGTTTTGCACAATTTAGCAGATTTTAATACAAAACACAATTACCTCGATCAAGTAAGAAACCAGTAGAAGTAAACATATTCAAAACTACAACCCTTATCATCAAAAGGAAAAATATCATAGGATAGGCCAAAATATATTCAACATAGTCCAGCTACTAAATCCAACCCTTCATTAGCTCCGATATTACTCAATGGTTTGTTCCAATGATGGGCTCTCCCAATGCTAAGATAGAGAGCTAATAGAACCACAGTGACATACTGCAAAAGTTAGGCTTCCGAAACAATGCCAACATGCCTAAGTATTGCTCTTTGGCCTCATTTGTTTGCACTTGATGAAGATCTTAGTCTTAATCATTCAGATCTCAGCCATTAAGTCTATTTATTTACAAGGTGTGAATCTTAATCATTAAGTGTGTTTGTTTTTTTTCTTATTTTACAACCACTTAATGGGTCTGCATAGGTCTGAATGATTAAGATTTATAACAAAATTAAAGAATTTGTACAAAAAATGACAATTCGTCGCTACTCCATCTACTTTCATCCACCACCCACAACCACCATTTCAGCCACAACTACCACCATCGTCAATCACCACAACCACCATCCTCGGTTCAACCACAACCACCACTACCCCTAATCACCAAAATTAATCGTCACTATGAACCATCATTTGCAATCATCACCACCAATCATTATTACATCCACTAATTACTACTGATAATTATCACCATTAATCAACATTATATTCCACTAACCGCTATCATTATTCATCATCGTCATTAGCTATCGGTATCATTTCACTACTAATGATCAACCGCCACCACCAACAACCACGTTAATTACTACTATCAACTACTATACCACAAGATACTGCCCATAACCACTATTATCAGTCAACACTATTCCAAATCAACATACACAATCACCATCACTAGTCATCAACATCGCCAAATGCCATATAAAAATTTTAAAATATTTATTGATATAATATTATATCAATATAGTGTTTTATTTGAATTTTATGTTTATTATTTTTTTTAAAAAAGACAAATTTTATACATTCAGATGTTGAGAAAATAAACAATCTTAACTATATAGTATTCAAATGTTAATGCACATCTTAATATTCAAATGTGCATTTAGATTCAAACGTCTTAATCTTAATGCAAACAAATGAGGCCTTGAAGTATTAACATAGAGACATGGGATACTTTTGAACTCTTAAGACTAATATCATTCTAAACTAAGAGCCTTAGGGCTTTGATTCAACAACAAAGGTAGAAAACAAGATGTGTAGTAGGTGTGAGTTACTGAGTTCGAACCAAGTTTAGTATTTAAGGGAGAAGGGTAGAGGGATTGATCCAAAGCTAAAACAACAGCTTTCCCGGTCATAAGAAAAATGATTCTACACTAAGATGCACATGTGATGAACCACATTCCACCTCCCTAGTCCCCCCCACTCACACCTTAAAATGAGGAAAAAAAGTGATTCTCCTAGAAATTGCCTTTACTACTTTATTTCACCCATTAACTCCACATGTCATAAGACTTTTATCAACTTTCAGCATTTTATTGATGCAGATGCTTAAGTTCGACAGGTAGCAGTTCCTGATACCCAGGCTTTTACATTATCTTTTGCAAATGAATTTGTATCTATTCACCTTCCAGGCACTAATGCATACATCTTCTTTACTTTGTAGCTTTTCAATTCACCAAAATAACTCAGTTTTCCAGCTCAATAGGATTCGTTTCATACTAGTTAACGGGCATGCATATTTTATCCAACAAATTGACTTCTTGAGCTGATTATTTCTACCTTAATAGTTGAAGAGCAAGTAGTAACACTATTACAAACCACAAAATTCACAATGCAAGCTTCACATAAGCTACAGCAGCAAAAAATTAATACCGGTAAACCGACCAAAATGCAGTCACTGACAACCAAAAAGAAGTTAAAAGAGCGATTACATCAGTGCGATGATGATCATAAACTTTTGTATCTGTTCATTTTCCAGCACTAATGCAAACATCTTCTTTAAATTTACCAAAAAAAAATCACTTTTTCTAGCTCAAACAGAATTTGCTTCATACTAGTTAACCGTCTACATTCACAATAAATTTTTTGTTCTTCAGCTGATTATTTCTAGTTTAATAGTTAAAGAGCAAGTAGTAAAACTATCATCCAAACCGCAAAATTCACAATGCAAGTTTCACATACCTGTAAACCGACCAAAACGCAGTCACCGACAACCAAAAACACATTGAAAGCTCGAGTCTTCACCGATACAACAGTCCGATGACGATCATAAGCCTTTGAAACCGTTCTTTTGGTAGGCGAAGCTACCAATTTCGAGTGACAAACGCTGCATTCCGACACTTCATTCATTTTTCTCAATTCGTCTCTCACCGGAACTCGAATATACTCCGTCAATGCCTAAATTTTTCCGATGAACGATCAATCGATTTAGCGAAGAAATTAGCTTTTTGGAATTTTGATTTGTGTTTGTTGGATCTGAATTTTTATATATATAGAAGAAAGTCTCAAGTCTTTTTTCCTTACAAAGGATATTCTTGAAAGAATAGGTGAAATGACCTACTTAACCATAGATTGGATGTAGATGGAATACGATTGAGGAGGGTATTTTTGTCTTTTGAGGAGGAAATTAATTTGTTCTAATCCATTTTTACCTTCCGTTTGGTCAAAGATTTTGAAGTTGAAACTTGAAAATTTGGATTATAATTGGATATGCATTTTATTTGGAAAAATAATTAAAGTTATGTGATTTTGAAGTTGAAACTTGAAAATTTGGATTATAATTGGATATGCATTTTATTTGGAAAAAAAAATAAAGTTCTGTGACTGAGAAGAAAATATTTAATGATTGAATTTTCAAAATCTGATTAAATTGATCAAACAGATATTTGAAGATAAACTTTTAAAATTTGATCCAAAGTGTATGGTCAAACACTAGCTTAAATTTGCTCTTGTTCGAATATGTTTATTTCCTTTTATAGTAATGCTTAATAAAAGATCTTCCATTATAAGTTTTCAAAATCTTATTAAATTGACCGAACATATATATAAAGATAAACTTTCAAAATATAATTCAAAATGTATGATCAAACACTAGCTTAAATTTGCTCTTGTTCGAATATGTTTATTTCCTTTTATAGTAATGCTTAATAAAAGATCTTCCTTTATAAGTTTTCAAAATCTTATTAAATTGACCAAACAGATATATAAAGATAAAGTTTTAAAATATGATTCAAAATGTATGATCAAACACTAGCTTAAATTTGCTCTTGTTCGAATATGTTTATTTCCTTTTATAGTCGTGATTAATAAAATATATTTCATTATAAGTTTTAATAATAACAACAATAACATATCCAATATAATCCACATGTGGGGTCTGGAAGAAGTAATGTATCCCTATGACATAAGTAGGACTTTTTGGCGTGAATCTTATTCTAGTCGGGCTTTAATGTGAGTACGAGATATGAGTGGGGGAAAAACATTTAGGACGAGTATTATTTTGTTGAGAATCTAAATTGAGTGTGTAACATGATTATGAATTTGCTAATTGTCTTAAAATATCAACAAAATTCTTTCAGTTCGAATCTTGAGAATGAAAAAACTTCTAAAATAACCTTATTAATAGGCCTTACGCGACTTGAAAAAGATAAGTTACGATGTCAAAGCAGACACCAAAATTATTCTGCTTCATTTGCAAGTTTTTTCTGTTTTGAATCTTGTTATCACTACTAACAATACAACAACAGTCTCACAAAGTGAGGTTTGGGAAACGTAGAATATATGCAAACCTTACCCGTCCTCAGAGATACCAAGGTTGTTTATCACTACTAAAACAATACAAAAATTAATATTTTACAATAGTATTCACATTCCACCTTCACTAAATTGTAGCATATGAATCATGACATTCCAATTTTTGCATCATTATGCACCAACAAGGGAAAATAATCAAAAGATGCCTCACTATATCATGATTCATGATGGAAGTACTTGAACTTAGACTTCATTTTTTACCAAGAACCATTATTATATCTAGAAAGTTAAAATGGTACTCTTTACATTGCATTATGCAGTTTCTCATATGCCTAATTTCAACTCCCATCTTCTTTTAGCTAAAAGAGAAACTGGGATGCATAAATGAAGTGCTTTTGTAAACACATCAAACACAAAGAATGGGATCGCCACGCGTAATCAGTGGATTTGCTCAAACTGCAGCCGCTTTAATAGAGAGGAAATCAGAAATCTTGTTGGCGTAGAAATCCGGTTGTGTAGAGTTGTTGGGATCTTGAAGCATCGATAAAGATGTCACGCCTAAAACATGAACAAAAGATAGTGTTGGATGACAAATTTTGAAGCATATGCCTTATAAGGAGAACAAATTTTCCTTTCTGATACCTGAGAGAACCAGAAGAGTTTTGCAGCCACCATTTTGTCCAAACACTATATCTGTATCCAATCTGTCACCGACCATGCATATCTGTGACTTCTGTATCTTAAACCTGTTGCGATAACATTAAAGAAGATGAAGAAAGAAAAGTTATTGAACGTCCAGTTATATTCACATCTACACTGCCTTACAGATTAGGAAAATGCATAATAAAAACTAGTCTGTTTCTGTAAAGAACTATGTAACGTTCAACAGAACGACAGTTTTCTTCCTATGAATATGAACCTGAAAATGATAGAAGGATTTAGTTCATGTTTGATCAAGAAAATTGCTTGATACATCACAATGCCAACACTACTACTTCAGCATACATACGTTGAAGAAAAAGTTCGTAAACACTCTTTCTATCTCTTTTATGAGAGACAGTACAAATACTACCGACATAAGCATGATGCAAACATTTAGGTCAGCCTTTCAAGGCTAAAGCCTAAAAGTATAATTACTTCACATGCAACTAGAGAGCACTAATCAAACTTGATCTAGAAGTAAGGTAGAATGATTTTGATATTTCTCATGATGAAGCATTCATCATAGGATGACAAAGTTTCATCAGCAACTAAACAAGTATACATCTGAAATAACTAAGAACCACGGCGATTATATAATGCTAGTGAAGAGCAGGGGTGGAACTACATGGACGAGGGGGTTCAATTGAATCCCTGTCAGAAAATTTCTTAGCAGAAAATCATTTTTTTTTGCATATATATGAAGTGTTGAATCTTCTTGTTATAAGTAAAGATATTTAGCACATTGCAAAGGCGGTTCAAAAATTGTTTTAGGTCATAAGTTCAAACCATGGGTATGACATTCTTGTACATTTTGAATCCCCTCATGGAATTCCTGGCCCCGCAACAGCTGAAGAGTCAATGGTAATAAGTTACAAGTTTCAATTACCTGTATTGGAAATGTGAAAATGCTACATTTATAGTTAAAAGTTCATTTATGGGAATCACAAGCTTTTGGAGCAGCATTAACTTTTTAAATTTGTTTAATCTACTAAATTATAGCAAATCCAACATAATCATCCTGCATTTAATCTTGATTTTGCCAACACCCTGATGTATAAAACCTTGATGACTAGAAAAGCTTGCTGATTTACACATCAAAAAGTTAATGTACTCCGGCAGAGAGCGCATTCAGCCAAAAAAGGAGATAAGGGAAGGGAGCAGAAGGCACTGACAAAGAGTGCAAGTAAAGAAGATAATCTAGGACAAGCCATAAAAATTGTAAATAATTAGTGCCATACTTATCAGCCAAGTAGTCCATCATGAAGGTCGAGGGTTTTCCTACAACAAGAGGTTCGCGCTTTGTAGAGCCTAGGATCGCACCAACCATTGAACCACCACCTGAAGCAACAGAACAGAAAGGATGCAGCTTAGTTTAAATATGGAAAAAATATTGCATGGCTAGGACTGTACAGAATGGTCAAAGCAGATGACACATAAGATTTAAAAAAAAGATTAGCTAGAGTAGCATCTTAACTTGGCAACAAGTTGATGACATTGTAAATGCTAAATGAATAAATCTTATCATTGTTCTAACTATATAGAATTCTTCGAGTTTAACGACTAACAAGGTTGATCCAAATTAGTTCAGTAATCAACTATTCAAACTAGTTGACACCTCAACATTTCTTTCAGATGAAAAAGCAAATGACATGGCTCAGAAAGGCTCTATAGATAATGACTAGGACGAGAGCGTAAAAAGGTAAAACAGGAAAAGAATTGAAGTGTACATCACAATCGCAATAACATGTGATAAATTCTGATTGCAAGAAAAGCTCTTATTGTAAATGATAGTGCTACAGAAATAATCACATTGGTGCTAAGTAGATTTAAGTCCAACAGAGAATGGGTTCAACAACTAACTTATGTTAATGAACAGTTTAACTCACAGAACAAACATGTGAACCTAACTTTAAAGCATGAGAAGGGAATAACCTGCCCATTCCTGAGCATCTGTAAGATGGGTAACAGCATCACGATTTGTAGCAATAAAGAGACATCCTGGATTTTCACGTATGCACAAGGTAGCATACCTTCATTACAGAAAGCAAGTTAGAGATGTGATATCAACAGGTAAGAGAAGATTTATACAGACAGGTGAATGCACGACATAGGAAACCTATACAGTTATAATACCCTTCACTTTTCCCCGAGTCTTGCCTTGAATACAGGGTTTATATGTGCAGATAGTAATTCTAGTCTGAATCAGGTCCTCTAGCAAGGGAAATATTTTAGCATGGGATAGCTAAAATGGATTAGATGATCAGAACTTTGAGCAAAGAAAAAAGTACTATATGAGTGGTTAAGTAAATTGAATATTAAAATCCGAACAAATCCAAAACAAAGTAATCTCATAGTTAGATATTATTCGGCAGAGAATGTGATACAGAAAAGATAAAAAGGATAACTCACTGAATCTTGTGGTAGTTGAAATAGCGGTCAAATCCAACAACAACAGCTCCGACCTGAAAGGTATAGACACAACTCAGCACAATATATTCAAAAAATAGTAGAGCTTGGTCTGATTTAAACATAGAACACACATGAGAACAAAATAAGTTTAGAAGCATGAAATGAGGCATACATCCTTATCCTGCTCCATCATATATCCAGGCTTTAGCTCTATTTTCTTGTCACCGTCTTCCTGTTAAAAAGAATAACACAGCATTCAGTTCAAATGTGAATCTGGTACCAAAGAAGGCACCGAGCAAATGCTCTGTAGCTCTCTCTCTCTCTGAAATCTAACTATAAAAAGAGAAGAAAAGAACATTTTAAAACTATGTTATCAAAGTAAACATTGTTAGTGGGATCATTTTCTAACTTTCAAAGCATAGTTGAAAGGAAGTGCCCAAGGCATGGTTCAAATTGCAGCACTCTGGCTCCAAGGTTACGTAATTTAATCTGCAGTGTAAGAAAACGTGAATTTTGGTTGAAAGATGCAAATGACATTCATTGTTTCTTTTCATTTTGCAAGTCTTGTTTATCTCA